CGACCCATTCATTGTCTTACCATCGATAGGGAGACTCAATAACATGTACACGTCCTCTAGTGTGACGGTACATTCACCTATTGGTAGATGAAATATGTGTGTCTCGGGTCTTCACCTTTCCAACATTACAAGTATAAACTTGGAATCAATCATGCAGTTTGAGATTTTTATAACATTTCCAAAACCAGTATATTTGAGATATGGCACGATCAACGGGTCGGGAGTAATGTAGTTGTGTGAGCGAATTCTAAATCTTTTAGTATCCTAAATTTAAAATATAAATATTGTAAGAGTGCATAAGATGACTAATTTAATAATAATTTTATAAAAAATATATTAATATAAAATAATATTTAAGAGTTTATAGAAACTTACAAATGCCACAATGTTGTCTCTTGTGCCTCTGTGAGAATCATCCATTGTAAGAAGAACCGTATTTGAAATTGTATAAGACAATGAAAGAGTTTGTATCAGAGAGTGTGATGATTGGTGATGTAAAAGAAGTGTCTCAGGCGCCATATTTATAGGTGAATTCGTATAAGAGTGAATTAATGAGGTGGTTGGGGGTTGCATGCATGCAGAATACGTGCCATGTTAAAGCCAAGTCAAATGGCGCCTACATGTATTTTAGAGAGCATGTGCCAGCCAGCTTGGCGTGGGACAGACCTACATGTAGAGTAGGTGACAGTATATGTGCAATGTAAGATGGCAGCATATAGACAGTCTTATACGCATGCATGTAATGTAACATGACCTGTAGGGATGCGCCATCCCAGATGGCGCATAAGATCAAAATTAAGAGAATTTGCCATCTCAATTGGTGAATCACTAGTGGAACATTTTTGTCTTGTTCAAGGAAAATGAAACTTATTTATCCTACATACATCTAATGTTATCAACACTCAAACACCAAACACAATATCCTCTACACCACAATATGTTATCAGTGCATATTTCAACGGTAAGACGTACATTTGTCCCACCTCTGGTTTTTTATTTAGAGACACTGATAATATCTGATTTTGTTTAAATAGAAAATCCAATTTCTTGTATTTCAAAAAACAATTAGAGGTCAAACTTGAACGAGGTCCAGTGACACACATCTTCTATCAACATCCGATTTTTTTTGGTGAGAACCAAAATATATTTTATAAGGTAGAGGTTCAAGATGACGAGGGCCTTCAAAATATGTTTTCTAGTCATGAGTACTCTGGGCATGACTCGATTGAGTTGTACATTGTGCTCCAAGAGGCTCAGTTGTCACAACCAACTTAGTCACAAGTGGTTGATCCTATCGAAGGCGAACACGTAGAAGTAAATGTCGTTGACGAAGAAGAGGAAAATGAAGAGTTAGAGTTTGACAACATGGTCAACGATGATTATGAAGATGATGCGCTACCTGAAATACATCTAAATGAAGTCTACACACCACCTTTACACATGACAAACTTTAACATGGGCGGAGATGAACCATCATCCGATTTTTTTAACCCGTATATGCAGTCGGGTGAAAATTTAAAAGAGAAAGACAAATTTCGTTCAAGAGAAGATTGTATGCGAGTTATAAAAAAGTTTCACATGTTAAAATTTTTCGATTTTAAGGTAGATTGGGTAAATCCATAAAGGTACAAGCTAGAGTGTGTTCACTCAGATTATATGTTCAGGCTCACTGCATCATACAGGTTGAGAGGTGATTGTTGAGTGATAGGTTCTATGCCCATCCATACGTGCGTTAATTCTAATCAATCACAAGATCATCGTAAACTAAATTATGATCTAATATGTCAAATCCTACCTCTCGTTAACAATGATTTGTCATTGAAGGTGAAAACCATAATCTCTCATATCACTATAGTATACAATTATACTTCGTCATACAGAAAGGCGTGGTTAGCAAAGACCAAGACGATTGAAAAGGTATATGGAAACTGGGAGGAGTCATACAAAGAACTACCGCGCTACCTGGATGCACTTCAGACGTATTCTCCTGGAACTATTTATATATGGAAACATTGTCGACGTATGCCCCAGATGATACTTCTGTCAATGAAAATGGAATATTCAGTCGACTGTTCTAGGATTTTCAACCTTGTATCACAGGGTTTGCGTCCTGCAAACCTATTATTCAAACAGATGGAACATGGTTGTACGGAAAATACAAAAGCACACTACTGATAGAAGTTGCACAAGATGGCAACAACAACATTTTCCCAATTTCCTTTGCTCTAGTCGAGGGAGAGATTGGTGGTGCTTGGTTTTCTTTCTCAAAAATCTCCGAACACATGTGGCTCCACAACCTGATCTTTGTTTGATCTCCGACAGACATGCATCTATTGAGAGCGCATACAATAATCCTGCAAATGGTTGGCATGACCCTCCTTATACGCATGTCTACTGCATTAGACATATCGTAAAAAAATTCACGAGGGAGATCAAAGACAAGGCTCTTAGGAAAACAGTTATGAACACGGGGTATGCATTAACACAACCTTCATTCAAACACTATCGCAACGAGATCAGATAGGTGGATTGATAATATTTCAGTGGAGAAATGGACAAGGTCATATGACAATGGACAACGATGGAGCCACGTGACAACAAATCTTATGGAATCAACGAATGGTGTATTCAAAGGCATACGAAACCTCCCAGTAACCGCTTTGGTGAAATCAACATATTTTTGGATGGCTTCGTTATTTGCAAAAAGAGGTGAAATATGAAATGCGATCTTACAATCAGGACAGTTATGAAGTGAAAGTTGTATGAAATATATTAAGGCAAAAGGTGTCAAAGCCAACATCCATCTTATTATAAGGTTTGACCGACATAGCCACAACTTCATTGTCAAAGAGACAACCGACCACAACGAGGGGCTGCCAAGACAAGAGTATAGGGTTATACTACCATCTTATTGATGCGATTGTGAAAAGTTTCAAGTCTTTCGTATGCCTTTCTCTCATGTCATTGTGGCATGTGCATATACTCATCAAGATGCATTACTACTTCTATCTCCCATTTACAAATCTGAAACCTTGCTCAACGTATGCAACAATGGCTTTCCAATGGTAGCGAAACCTGATTATTGGCTTGCATACGAAGGAGAAATAGTATGGCACAACGATCAAATGAGAAGGAGTAAAAAGGATCGTCCTAAAAGTAAGTGTATCACAGCTGAAATGGACTCCCTTGATAAGCTAGAAAGAAAGTGTGGTTTATGTCGTCAGGTCGGACATAATCGAAAAGATTGTCCCACTCATGCTACAAGCTCGACAACATAAAAACTGTATGCAAACTATCTGCAATTTTTTAAGATCTAAATGTAATTTTTTTCACTAAGAGCATTTGTTACAACAAACCATACGCAAACAACAAATAAAAATACGATAACACATCTAAGAAATTATAACCGTCAAAACAATTTCATCTGAGCCATGCATCATCATCATTACGTCTCTGTCTGTTTTGACTTCCTCCAACCAAGATTGAGGTCTTCCAATTGCAAGTGAAGTGGTTCTTCTTTTTCTCTGAATCCTTCTAATTTGTTCCCCAACTTCGATGTCTCCCTCTAGCCATCGCATCAACTCTCTCTTCAGACGCTCCATGAAGTGAATGTGCCAAAATGTTATTTTCATCGAAGGTTTTGTGGCCGAGAAAATAACGTATTCATCTCTGGTGAAAATCATGGGAGATGTCATCATGCAAAAAACAGAGAGAGAATGAGAAGAGAATGTGAGAAAGTGTGAAGAATGATGGAGAAATGGGTGTTTTATTTATAGAAAATACAATTACACGTAGTAGTCATCTCAAATGGAATTTCCTCCACATATTATAGTGCATGTGTCATCTCACATGGCTAAAACAAAATGCATGCGCCAAGAGATGACGCCTAAGACAAAAAGATGAGTACATACGCCAAATGAGATGGCACATCCATTGATGTATATTCCGAAATATAGTTATTTGTGTAATTTTCTCCAAAACATAATTGTTTTTTTTTTTTCATAACATGGTTATTACTAAAAAAACTTTATTCTAGAAAATCATTTAAAATATATATCACATTCATTTTTAGTGAAAATCGAGGAAATTGAATATATAAAATAATAAAAAAATTAAAATTGACTTTTAAAAATAAATTGAAAATATTGATCCAAAATATATTAACTCTCAATTAGACTAAATAATCGAAGTTAATACGAATAAAAAATAAAATAAAAAATTAACAAAGAAAAAAAGAAAACTGGCAAGCATGATCTGAATCTCAACAACAATAATCGAAGTATTATCCCACCAAATAAAGCCAATTACATGAATAACTTTCGTCATAGTGTTTTTAACCATGAATATACTTCTATCTAAATTATAAATCTCTACCTCTAACAGTTTGGTTTCTGTCCATCAGAATCTCAATAGAGATTATTTTTATACTTCAGTCTTCAATTTCAATTATTATTACCAAACCTATAGTACTATATAATAAGGGATCGAGTAAGAGAAAAAGATAAACATGTATAAACTAACGTGACACATTTTAAGAATGCTTCACGATTAGAATCCACTAAAGTACCGGCGTCACCATTGTTCAAATATCTTATTAACCCAAAATCATGACGAATGTTGTGGTGCAATCCACAGTGATAATGACATAATAATATGAAACTCACAATTAATATACATTATAACAGACCTGAGTTATCATCTCAAATCTGATAGGTGTTTGGCAAACATATCATCCCTAGATCCAGAATAAATGATAAGGTGATGAATAAGAGTATTAACAAGAAAGTCAAAAACAGATGACAATCGCGGTTTTCCTAAGCTTGAACATACTGTACAAGAAGTTCGTCAATCTTTCAAAATCAGATACGTGGGCATGAATGAAGAATATTATACCGTGGACTGCACAATTTGGATTGCGCTGAAGAAGACAACTAAATTTGCAGAACATTGGAAAAATCTTAAGGCTGTCGGTTAAGCCTACTATCATTTGTCCAAACAACCTATTCATCTAACTCCTCTATCTGAGCCCGCTTCTCAGCTGCTATCTTTCTGATAAAGAAGCCCCACCTCATTGCTGCCTTGATCTTCAGCCATCCCACGACAGCTCTGCCAGGACGAGAGCGGTCCTCATCGTAGTTCGGCATAGGAGATGGCATGAATGATGGGAAGGAATAACCATCATCGGCATTCATGGAAGCATGACCACCCATGCTGAAAAGGCGGAGCAAGTGCTGCATGTCTTCATTCTCTAGTATCTCATTACTTCTAACACGGATTTCATCCTCCGAAAAGAAGTCATCAACGCCCTTGTCCCTGGTGTGTGACCAATCATCAAAAGGATTTGGTGCAGATGGTTGAATAGAAGAGCTACCAGCATGGAAACCTGATGTCGAAGATTGAGGAGGACCAAGAGCCAAACCAACTGTGCTATGATCATTTCTAGAGCTTAGGGATTGGTGATCATTGTTTATTAATTGATCATTAGACAGATATAATGAGCCTTCAAACTGACTCCGAGAGCTGGAACTTCCGATCAATGCCTGGCTTGGATACCTTGTCACCATATTATTGATATAACCTGAAAGGAAAATGTATTTTCACACATTTGTATAGTAAGAACATCATAAACAATCATCAAAGATGCATGAAACTATGCAAATAAACAAGTATATTGATGTATATGCAAGAAGAACCATCACATTGGAATTCAAGGAAACAGAAACGCTTACCTCCAACTGGCATCCCTGAATTAATCTGGTGTTCAGAAGTAACAGACATGGGGAGGGATGGCATTTGCAGTTGATGGTCTAAACCACCATCAAAATCAATTGGCTCAACATGAAGTTCATTTTCAGGTACAGCAGAATTCTTGTTTTGCTCAGCATCTATAAGTGATTTACCATCGTACTCTACAACCTGCTCCCAATTGTCGTATGCCTTTTTCACCAATGAATCTACATAAACCTGGACTTGCAAAAAATAAAATAAAGGCATTACAAGCTTAACCCTATTCCTAAGAAAGAGCTTCAAAGGAAACTGCAAACTTTGAGACTTGGTAAGCCTTAACTGTCAAAGTACTGTATTATCAAGGAGTTCCAAGCAACATAGCATGCACTTTTTGGTTGTGCTCAATACCGGTGCTTGCTTATAAAAAAAATTAAAATGGTGCTCATGCAAGTTTGAGTAAAAAATACATACAGCCAACATTTCCATATCAACTATATTAATTGGAGCTTGACAAGAACATAAATGGATGCTCGACTTTTAGAGAAAAACAGCATCAATCAGAGTCATAAAACAAAATAGCATGCACTTTTTGGTTGTGATGAATATCAGTATTCATGCAAGTGTGAGAAAGAAAAAGAAACGTACATCTAACATTTCCATATCAATTATATTAATTGGAGCATGCCATGTACAATAAACAAATGCTCGACTTTTGGAGAAAGAAAGTATCAATCATAGAGTCATCAAACAAAGTAACTGAAATATCCACTCCTATCAATGGAAAAAATGCAGGGTGCAAACTAACCTTCTGATTATCACTGAGAGAATCAGCAGAGAAGAATTGGGCTCCTGTTATAAGGCCGCGCAGCTCATAGACATGGTTAAAAATAACACCAACATTTCTTGTATCCTCTGGATAATAAACATAAAGCTTCCCACTTAGAACACATGTCTTTGCATGCTCTAAGAGAGCTTCCCACATCTTGTTTGACATACCACTCCCAAGGATCTACATTTAAATGATATAAGAAAACCGGTGGAAAGACCTAAATTCAAGATAAAGGTGCAATATCTAAACTTACATTCCGCAATTTCTGTTGATCCTTAACCACAAGTCGAAGAAAGTCTTCAACTGTGAATATTCCTGCATTATTCAGCTTTTTGTGAAATGACCCATCCTTGCCTATTTTCTCCAATCTCCATACATCATCATTAAACGAAGGAGGATAATGCTTCTTGTATACTGTAAAAAGGACAAAGTATATAATTTTAAAAGACTGTTGCAGTTTACAAGCAGAGAGAACATTAGAGCTAGAGAAAAACTAAAAGTATAGCCCTACATTCGCCTCTATGATCTTTAACAATGAAAGCCACTGTCTTGGCTTCGCGAATGCGTATAGATTCGCCAAAACCTGCTGCAACCTTCATGCCAAGCCTGAATTTACGGCTCCTTATCCAGCTTGAATTATCTGTAAATGTCAGTTCCCCCAATGTTCCAACTCCTTCCTTCAGTGTCACTTGCAGGTCCCCAGTCAACAAAGGTCTCTTTCCTTCGCGTTCTTTCACCACATGGCTTTCAAACTCTTCTTGGGTCCAATCTTCATCATCTTCATTGTTAAAATCGCCTTCAAGGACAACGACGTCAAGCTTTATACAGGATTCAAGTCCAGATGTGATGACATTACCACTATTGGCATCAACTAGAACAACATGAACTGGAGCCCCCTGCTCGCCTTCCACTTTTCCTCCTGTGAATAAAGGAAGAGCCAGCCGGGACCTAAACTGAAGCCGCAAGTTTCTACCATCAGGACCTTCAATCCTTTTAGGGGAAGACCTGAAATTTTGGAATTTTAACCTGTTAGAAGAAAATACCAGACTTACCAATGTATTAAATTTTAATTAAATAGGACTGATCAATTGGTGGTGGCATCAATTAAAGTGGTGATAGTTACAGTTTGCAGCTAGGATATTGATTTCACTTCTTTACCACTAGGTTCTTCTAAAATAAATAGTCAATGACTTACTGTACACTTTGAGCTAGGCAGGTAGCTCCAAATTGGAGAATGGATACTGTTTCCTGATTGTAAGTGTTTTGTTTTACATCATTTAGAAAGTTGCAAATTAATGCCTACATGCAAGTACCTACATCAGCTCATTAAAAATATTTCTATTCAATGCTTCAGAGGAAAATCAGGGCAGCAGTATTAGAGAAATGAATGCAATTCATCTCCAACTAATTGAGTCAACTAACTATCTGTAGTTACTAAATAATTGCTCTCTTCCATGTCATTCATTGAGATAGAAATGATTTTGCAATTTCCTTGTTGGTTGACCTCTATTTACAGGACTCGTAACTCTCTAACTTCATATTCCCTTCTCCTTTCCACTCAATCCTAACCACATACAATAAATTGTTTGGGCAATCCTCCCTCTTGAGCTAGCTTTAAGAGCTGAGTTACCCCGTGAATCTAAATCTAATGGAGGCAGAAAAAATGCCTCAAAACTCAAAGGCATAATGTCTGTTTGTAGTTAACACTTAACACAGTTACAATTTAATAAAAAACCAACTGTAACCTTGCTTAGTCTATGGAAAATACAATAAAAATGCATGTAGATAACACAACCATAATTTAACGGAAATCGTGAAAACAACAAATACTCTGAAATTAGTTTCCAACTTGTGAGTAATAAATTTCTTAGACCTTCCAGTTCCACTAAGTCGTGCAGGTCCTAACTTTGCCAAAGCACGCTCCACTTCTTCACTGACCTGTTTCAATCAGTATTATTAAAATATTTGATTTTGAGCATCAAATCTAGAAACTTATGATTTTAACAAAACAAATTATGTTACAAGGTTACTTCTTCTATGAATCATATCAAATGCATGTTTCCACATGGATCATCTAACAAATGATGTCACACCAAGATGGAAAAAGAAAAAAGAGAGCTAAAAGAAGCTTTGAGAGCAAAATGTATATGCAGAGTATATTGTCAGACTGTGAACAATAGATCAAATTTGACAAGCAAAATTATTGTGACTTTAATTCGTTTATTAAACAATTGGCCTTTGTAAAAATAAGAGCAAGTAAGACCATCATATTGCACATAAGAGAAAAATAAGCCATGGCATTTAAGAATGGATATGAATGTGGCAAAACGGCTTTTAGTTGGAGTGAAAAAAAAGAAAATAAATAGCAGAAGTCAGGGTGAAGACAACTGTCTTACAACTCTACGAAGAATAGGTTCTAAAGATGAGCAAAGCTTCTGCAAACTGTCCACCTTGAGAGCTTCAACAATTACACTGCAAAATATTGCATTAGACACAGTAAACTAAAGCAACTAGAGGAATTCCTTAATGGAGCATGCTAAATCATTCAAAATAACTATTGCAATCTTTCGATAAATTAGGAAATATCAAAACGAAGCAAATTCACATAATCATAACAATAATTGAAGAAAAAGCTAGAATTACCTGGCAAGAGCAGGCCTCTTTCGTTCAGGCTGGTCATCTTCTCCACCCTCCAGGGTCCTTTTCCCCATATTAACTCCGTCAGTAGTTGGTCTCTGCATATACACTCTCTAATACCAAAACCCTAAAAAACCAAATTGCACAAACATATTTCAAAACCATATAATTATAAATAAACAAAAAAGTCACCATTATCACCTACTGCAGGCTTAAATAAATAATTAATAAAAAAATCAATATCAACAAACAAACAACAAACAAATAAACCCTAGCAGATATAAAGTAATTAAAAATTAAAAAAAACTGAAAAACAGATCTAGAACAACACGATAAGAAACAAGTTAAACACAAATTAGACAAAAAAAAAACTTACGATTATAGAATCAGGAAAACTCGAAGGAAAAAAAACAATTTCTAGCAAGAAATTTGGAGATAAAAACAAAAGTGAGTGAGAGATGATGATTTGGTGGAAGTGAAAAATTGAAGAAAAAAAGAACGAAAAAGATAAAGAAAAAACAGAAAGCGGGAAAGTGACGGGGATTTAACGGCGTTACTTAGTTACCTGTGAGAGAGAGAGAGAGAGAGAGAGAGAGAGAGAGAGAGAGAGAGAGAGAGAGAGAGAGAGAGAGAGAAGCGATTATGTAATGGATTTTGGTTGAGTTGCAACTTGCAAAGTCTTATGAGTTCAATTTGTTTCTACTGTTCGTATTTTTTTGTGTTGTGGTCTACTCTGGCGACTTATGGAGGAATTATTGTCTGTGTTACGGTTTACGGTACACCCTTAACGGCACCTGAAACGTGGTTGGATGTGAATGAATGATCTTGGCCGTACGTTTGCTTCACCAGAGTAGATGAGTTCATTGCACTTGACACGTCACTGTAAATGGTTTTATGCTGATTACGTCACTTGCCGGATTATCAAACAGCTGACGTCACCTCTTTCATTTTTTTTAACTCTTTGTTAGGAATAGAATAAGATAAGTAGACCGGGGTTTTCATTTTTCTTTTAAAGGATAATTAGACCGGTCAAAGGTTCAACTTTGAAAATCTATTTTTAAATATTTTCATTTTAATACAATAATTTCAATGAATATTAGACTCGGATCTAGAAAAGGCAAATATAGGAGGTATTACTTTGACACATGGTTCTCCAAAAGTGTATAAAAAATCAAAATAGCCTAACTAAAATATTTTTCAAATCTTATAAATTTTCAATATCATACTGAAAATTTTAAACTTAGAGAGTGATATTGGAGATTTTAAGTGTATATCTAAATTTTGTGAAATATTAAGAAATTTATGCTATTTTTTTAAAATATCTGGTATTTCGTCTCAAATTTTTGATAGTTCATTTTTTTTACTATTTTTCTGTTCTTTTTTTCTTTTTTTAGTGAGGATCGGGGACAGAGACGATATCGTTATGGGCAGGTTAAACGATAGAGTGGAAGCTCAAGTCAGAGCTGATGAGGCACATGCATCTGAGCTACGGGCAAGACGACGTGCTATGATCGGTTTTCACCATAAACGGTTGGCTGATCGGCATGTGCAGTTTCGCGTATCTCGTTGTCGGAGTGTTAGAGTTTCTACTGCCGAGAAGGTACATGATCATGTGGAGAAACATGTTGTAACGTATGTTAATTTAATTAATTATTTAATTAAATATTTTTTAATTATTCGTTGAAGTTGTGAGATGTTGTGAATTGTTGGCATAAGTTGCTAGATTATTACTAGTTAATTAATTAGTTGATTAATAATAGTAATAATATTAGAATTAGTATAATAATAGAATAATTATGTTGGGCCTATTTTTAATGGTTAAAAATAGAGATATGGGGGGATTGTTAAGCCCATTAAGAATAATAATATTGTGAGGTTCTATTTAAATAAAGAATAGGGTTAATTGAGAAGTTATTGGAAAATTGATCGTGAGAAGTTGCAGAGAAGAGGAATAAAGAGAAGAAGCAAAGCAGGGTTCTGGCCGGAGAGTTTTAGAGAAACCTTTAATCCAAGGTAAGGGTGAGGTTCTGACTCTATAATGGAGCTTATAATGAATATTATGTAAGGATTGGTCGTGGGTATAACTGTTGTGCATTGGTTTTATGGGCATGTTCTTGAAAGTTGCATGTTTTCATGTTGTGATCGTCTAGGAATTTTTTGAATAAATGTCCTGTACAATTGATGAATTTGTTAGTAGGAGATATAGTTGCCCCGTTTCCATGATTATTCCATGTTGTTAGTCAGAAAATTAATGGTCAAAGAGAATACTGTAAGGCTAGGTTAATGTTCATCACAGACTGGACGAAATTTGTGCAAAAATGGGAAGACGTGTTGTGCCGAGGAGCACAAGTATTTGCGTCGAGTGGCATAAGGCTGCAAGGTGTCTCGAGGAGTACATGTACTAGGTGTCGAGCGACACAAGGCTGCAAGGTGCGCCGAGGAGAACAGGTGCTTGTGTCGAGCGGCACAAGGTTGCACGATGTGCCGAGAAGTATGGTGTGTGTCGGCCGATACAGAGGCATGAGGGGAAGGTGCCGAGCGGCATGGCTACTGTGTCGAGGGACACACATCGTTATTAATTCTTTCCTGCTGCTCCTGTGCGGGCTAATTAGTTATTTAATTTTGTGTAACATTCTCAGTATAATAATTAGAATTCTTAAGGTATTATATCCCTAAATGATTAATAGATTACTGGTATATATAAGTTGGTAGTAGGAGATATGATATAAATAATAAGTGACTAGCAGTAAACAGTGTGGAATCGGAGATAGTAGTACAAAACTGAAAATATTAGTATTTTAGCAGAAAATTACTTAGCCGGATATAGTCGAATTGCCCGAATAGTTACGCAGAACGTCATAGTATATTTTGGTTGATACATTGTATTGTATACTTTGGTATAATTTGAGAATTTGCAGGTGTTGTACCCTAAAATTTGCCCACTCACTTATCAAGAATTTGCTCACAAGATCTCCTTGGGCTCAAGACTGCACTAGGGTTTGATCAGCTCAAGACACCTCCTTGAGCACTAATGACCAAAATTAGGGTTTGAGATTTCACATGGATTTTTGAACTTCTAATGCCCCATATGACTTTAATGGATCATTATGGACCCTCAAGATTACTTATGTCAAGTTTCAAGCTTTGGATCACCCTTTTGCTCAGTCAATTGAGCAGTTGACCTAAAAATTAATTGTATTGGGAAAAAAGTCAACTATGGCCAATTTAAAGTCAAACTTCATAATTTTTTATCCATATCAATATTATAAACTCGTATGTATCATTTGATCAAGATTGGACCATAATTCCCCAAGAAATTTGATCAAATCATCAAAAGGGCAAAATGATCAAAATTAGGGTTTTGACTAAGAAGGGGCAATTTCTAATTTTTGACCTAGAAAATGGTCAATTGGTTTAAGGAATGATCTCAAGAGTCCAATTGTATCATTTTTACCTAATTACATGGTTCAAAACATTGCAAGTCTATTGGATTGACAAATGAATTTTTCAGTCAACTGATCAAAAGTCAACTGTATACTGAAAAGTCAAACTTTGAGTTTTTGGTCAAATTCAAGTGCCAAAGGTCACAATTCATCAAAACATGTTAAAATATGAAACTTATTCATCAAGAAATAAAAAAGTCAAGATTTCATTTTGAAAAGTCAAAATTTCTAAACTTAGAAATTTTTCTAAGTGTTGGAAATTTCATGTTTTTTCATAACTTTGAGCCAACTTTTCACCGTGATGCAAGAGGATTCAAGAGAAACTTCCAACATGAAAGTTGTAGATCTCCATGAAATATACAACTTTTATTCACACAACTTCTTCCAAAAGTTCTTGGATCTCAAGTTATAATTTTAAGAACATAGGATCATGAAACTAAACACTTAGTGAAATTTTGCCCTAATTTGGTCAGGATTTTGACCCAACTTCATGGCACTTTTTCATATAGTTCTGTTGTACCCCAAAATTTGCTCTCTCTCTTTTTCACAAGAAATCACAGCTTCGGGCTTTTCCTGATTTTTCAGATTGGCTTAAGAATCGGTCAAACAGACTTTTCTCATCAGTCAGACAAAATTAGGGTTTCCATTGATTTTGAATCAGTTCAAGCAGATTGTTAGGGTTTGGTTGAGTTTGGCTCAGGGTTTGATCAGGCAGACGTTTCTTTGACAATAAATCAAGAATTAGGGTTTGCGCGCGCATTCTCAGAAGGAATTAATTCTACAGTTCTTTTCAATTGACTCTGGGACATGGGTTGAGGCTTCTGATTGAAGGTTTGAAGTTTAAGTTTGATCAGTGAGATAAAGGACATATGGACGTTTATTTGATTAACTGTGCAATGCTTTTGGTTATTCGGAACGCCGGACGTTTATTGATTATTTATAATTTCTAAGTTAAAATTATTGGATAATTTCCAGTTATTATAATTCAAGAAATATAAATAATTAAATAAACAAATGCAGAAGAATTAAAAAAGATTAACTGACAAAGGATTTTTATTTATTTTTTTATTATTGGTACAAGTGTTATTTAAATACAGTAATTTTATTTACAATATTTATAATAATATTTATTACAAATGATTAAAATAAAATAAAACTATCCTAAATTGTTTGAAGTCTTCATCTTCTATTCCTCTTGCCCCAATTGATATTTACCTGCAAAAAGAGAAGAAAGAAGTCAGCACAGATGAATTAAAATTAAAGGCATTTTCAGACAGTTAATTAAAACTCATCATTAAAAGTTTTGGCCGGAATCAGTTTGTTCGTCCTCTCTGCAAATCGCAAGAAGATGTCTCTTCTTGGTTCACAAAGAGGGAATTTAAATGTTTGCAAGCATTGGAATTAATTAAAATACAAGGCTGCATAAGAAATTCACAAATTGCAAAGTGTAATGCCAAACAAAGCTGCACAAGAGCAAAATTGCCTTCAAACCAAAACAGCCAAGTTACAGTTTCAAACTAAACAAATCCAAAGAAAGTTCAAACTATCCAAAGAAGCAACCAAATTGTCCAAAAACTGTCAAAGCTGTCAACAAGCTAACAAAAAGCAAAAGGGCAGAAAATCTGGAAGATATGCAGAGGAAAGCCAAAGATGCAAGCAAG